AACTCATACTTCTTTAACTTGGCAGCAAGAATACTGTGGGAGTATTACGTTTAGTTTAAAGACACAGATTCTTTCTGTGCTTTTGCTGACCAACTCTGAAACCAGAAGAACTTCCAGAGCAAATATAGTACTGTTCATAGATTTTTAAGGCCAGAAAGGCCAATTTATGATCATCTAAATCAGGGCCGGCTCCAGGCACCAGCCTGGCAAGCAGGTGCTTGGGACGGCCGCTCTGGAGAGAGGCGGCACGTCCAGGTATTCAGCGGCAATTCGGCGGACAGTCCCTCACTCCCGCTGGGAGCAAAGGACCTCCAGCCAAATTGCTGCCGGAGATCGCAATCGCTGGGTTTTTTTGTTGTTGTTTTTTTTTGGCTGCTTGGGGCGGCCAAAACTCTGGAGCCGGCCCTGATCTAAATAACCTCCTGAATAACAAAAGCCATTGAAATCACCTGTTTTGGGGTCAGATAACTGCTCAGCTCCCATTTAAACCCCCAGATTTTCAAAAGGGCTCAGCGTCCAGCAGCTCCCACTGTGAAACCTATGGCCAGATTTTCAAAATATCACACCACTCAACATGCTGAAGTTTTAAAAAAAAAATACTGGGCACATAATTAGTTCTCTAAATGAGAGCTGAGCTCTTCTGAAATATTTGGCCCTGATTATGCATGCTGAGCAGTTCTGAAAAACTGTCCCAAGATTGGAGAAGGAGCATGTCTAGTGGTTAGAGCACAGAACTTGGAGTCAGAAGTTTTATGTGGGCTCTGCCACTGATGTGCTATAGAACCTTGAGCTTTCCTCTCCTATAAAATGTTTACTTCCCGTAGGGCAGCTCAGTGCCCCATATCACCTACTGCATGGTGGTGCAGAAAGTCTTGCATGAATATCATGAAGTGTGCAGACTCTGAGGTAAGTGATAAACTTCAACCAGTGCTTTCCATAAGCAACAAACACTCATTTAAGAGCAAGCTGGCAAGCAATCCTAGTTATATGCCTGAGATATCTTATCTCTCTCATCTAGACCACTAAACACCATTGCATCCTGCATCTGCGATAAAGGCTGTGAGATAGGGTAGCTTAGCACTGAAATTAAGCTATAGTGATTTATTACAAATTGATTATGTTAGTATCTTCCTGGGGTGAAGTGCGATCTTTTGTCTATGGTGGCAACTCGACATGCCAAACCCACGAAAAAAACGCAGAAATTGGGCTTGTTTTTGGCTTTATTGGCTTGTAAATTGCTTGTTGGCTAGTTTTTGGCTTGTAGCTTGTTGCTTCTTTTTTTTTTATCACCTTCCAGCAAGCAAGGGGGGGAGAGAGTCAGGGGTGCACAGAGGGCCCACCACAGTCCCAGACCCTACACCGGGGGGGGGGGGGGGAGGAGTCTAGTCACATAGAGTGTTGGGGTTCTTAGGGATTAGCTTGTTTTGGCCTTGTTTTTAAATGGGATTAGCTTGATTTTTGGCTTATTGTGAAAGTTGGGGTGCTTATTTACTGCGTGAAAATTGGCAACTGTGGTGGCAATTTACTGTAAATACAGCTGCAATCCTCAGCCCAACCAGTTACAATCAGAAGGGGAGATATGCCCAGAAAAGCAGCTCATGTTAGTCACCACGCCAAAACTCTTACATTTGTTTGTTTTAATTAAGAGAATGACTTTCTACCAAGCAAAATTCAGATCACTTTCTTCACATTGCACAAAAAGCCATTATTATTTAGAGCTTCATGGCTATAAAAAGGTTTCTTGTAAAACGGAAAATTCAAACGGAAGCAAATTGAGAATAGAACATTTATTAAAATAAACGCACTCCGTATCTCAGCAATAGAGCCTTGGCTATTGTTAAGATAGTTTGTGTCTAATAAGAGCTTTTCTCCCTTTCAGTTCAGCTTCCCCTTTTGTTTAATCCTGACAGTGAAGTCAATATCCTGTGTTTAAGGCATCACAGCCTCTTGCCATGGAAATAACTGCGGTGTCACATACTCATCATAAGGGGGGCAAACTCTGCCTTCAGATGTATGTTTGTAGCCCCTTTGATCTCAGTGGGAGCCGGGTGTGTACATCCAAGAACAGAATTTGATCCCACTACTTGTTTGATTTGGACAAAGAGAGGGACTCTGAAAGGGGAACGGGAAGCTATTGCATAAATGATCAGTAATTAGCAAACACTACAAAAATTATGAAAGCAGGACAAGATCAGCAATGAAGATATTTATGATTTGATTTCAGCAACTTCTCAGGCATTAACATATTATTAGGAGAGAAGAACAACAAATTACAAAGTGTGTTTGCTCAGGAATGCTGCTACATGGCTGGCGATTACATGGTCACCAAAAGTGTCAGTGGCAAGATAATATTGCCAATGACAGACAAAGACTAGACATCCAGATAGACTGTCTTAAGGACCTAGCTAGAGAAGGATCTGGGTAGCACTCAATCTGCAAGGAGGTTATGTCTCTTTGGGATTTGCCTTGATGGTGATATTTATTTGAAGGAGTTCTTCAATACAACTATTTATTTAAAATTTTGTCCATAGCTCTTATTGCAATGCTGTCTGTGCACCTCATGAACATCAATTAACTTACCTTCATGACACTCCTGTGAAGTATGGAAATATTACTTGAAGGGCTGGTTTAAAATTTTCCATCCAAACTGGTTTTTGATGGAAAATTGGATTTTCAACTAAATGAAAGGTTTCAAGAAACAACTCTGCTTTCTTCAAAGTTTTTGATCTTTCATCAAAAAACAAACCCCCTGAAAACCAAATAGGTTTTGGTTTAAGGACAAAAACCAAATTATTTAGATTCAGATATGCCACATGCCTCATGGGAGATGAATTTCAGTTATTTCGTGTCCCTATTCTCCTCTATGGGCTGGGCTCCCCTAGACTACATCTCCCACGAGTCCCATGACACAAAGAGGGGAGACTGTGGTGTATCCTGGGAGATGTAGACCTACCAGGGAGCTGGCTCATAGAGGAAAGTGGGAGCATGATCAGATCTAATTACGACCACATCTCACCATTGAGGAACTGAGGCACAGAGGAATTAGTGACTTGCTCAAGGTAAACAGGAAACCTATGGCAGAGCCAAGAAATAGAACCCACATGTTCTGAGTTCCAGTTTAGTTCCCCAACCTCTTATCAAGTCCCTGTATAAATCTGTTTTTATATTTATTTTGCTTGAATTTTCATTTACTTTTATTATATAATTTCTGCTATTTACTTTTTTAAACTATATTATTAAACATACTGGTCAATGGAATTACTCAGGATTTATGCTGGTTGAACTGAAAGCAGAATTTGGTTCAGCTGTTCCTATCATTCCTTTTAAGATTGTTTCTCAACTCCCCTGAACTGGTATTTATTCATTCCAAAGTTCAATATATAGATGTAAAGGATTCCATAAAGCCTAGCTGGCATCATGGCAAAACTCCCATTGACTTCAGTGGGGCCAGGATTTCACCTAATGTGTCCAAATAATGGAACGGATCTTGAGAGATGCAGAGCATCCATATCTCAGTGGGATTTGTGGGTACTCAGCACTTTCCAAGATCAGGCCGAACGATAGTAGAAATATGCCAACAGCAGCAGCAGCAGCACTCAAATACCCCTGTGGAGTGAGAAGACAGCAGCCAGGCAAATAACCAGGGTACATCACATAATGCATAATGGTGAGGAAAGGGGAAACTTTAGCCAAGGACAGCAGGGTGATCCCTATTATAAAAAAATATGTGAATTCTTTAGTGTCCCTGCAGAGCAAAAAGACTTTGCTTTTAAAGTTGTCATCTACAGTATGCACAGTAAACTGCTCAATAATCAATTTATCTATTTTGGAAAGGTTGAATCATCCCTGCCTGGATTTGACCTCTGCTTCCAGTAAATCTAGGTGTTTCAGGCTTGTTTCAAAATCTGTTATTCTGAACACTAATCCATCTTCCGCATCCAAATCGTCTTCTCCCAAGGAGTATTTTTTCCCTCCATTTCACTTACATACATACCATTAATTGGCAGCACTGCTTTCTAAGCCTTTCCCCGCCACCTGCTAGTTTAAGTTGATGTAATTCAGAGAGTGTCTGTGTCAACTGAGTTCTGACCTCTTCATATCTTGCTTCTACAAAGCCAAGTTCTCGGTACCACTTCTGAGCCTACCAGAGAAAAGGAATGAAAAAATAAAATTACAGACAGTACTTAATATCACTTCCCAGTATGTACTTACAACCTACGGGCTGGATTCTTTTGTACTTTTATAAATAAATAAAAATGTTCAAAGGACCACAGTTGGTCAGGTAAAGAGCCAATTACTGGGACAGTCCTTTCACATGCAATCTAAAAGTTACTGGTCACCATCTGAACAGACAAATGCATGAACAGCATCACTCATTCAATGCCATAAAAAACAACCACCACTTCTCTTCCTGAGAGAAATGAGTTTATCTTTAAAATATTTTTTTTTAAATAAAACTTTCATGGAACTATCCATACATAAATGTGCCACTATGCAATCTTATTACTGTTACCCTTTCCCACCATGTCTGCTTGTTACTATGAGTTATTGCACCACGTCTAAAATTATTTTTGCCAACACCTGTTTTGCAGCAGCTAGGAAATGCAAACTTGCCATCACGCTTTGGAGAAACATATTCCCATTTAGATAATGGACAATGTGGTTTTTTTTTGCAACAGAAAAAGACGAGGAACACTGAAGTTGGTCTGTTATGAACAGGGTTGGCTCTAGGCACCAGCAAAACAAGCTGGTGCTTGGGGCGGCACATTTTTAGGGGCGGCATTCTGGGGCCCGCCATGGCGCCCCCAAAAATGAGCCGCCC